CTCCGCGGGTTCGGCCTGGGGGCGGGGCTGGCGGCGCACCCTACCGGAGAGGACGTAGTCGGCACCCGGCTTCTCGCTGACCCTGACCAGGAAGGTGCCCGGCCCGCCGCCGTGGGCCTGCAGGCGGTGCGATGCCTCGGAGCGGGAGATGCGGCCGAAGAGCCACCTGCGGGCACGAGCTGGCACTGCCCCACGCTGCCCCACCCCGCGGCCCGCATCTGGCTCCAGCCTCTGACCTTGGCGTCTTCCCATCCTTGCCCCGCATCCCCACAGCAGCCGGCGCTGGACCCCAGGGAAGCCCCTGACCCCAGGAGGAGGGGCCCCTGTGGGGTCAGTGCTGCCCAGGCCATGGAGACAGTAGCCGTCCCCACTCCAAGGCAGCGCTGCCCGCAGGGTGGGCCTGGCTGCCCAGGGGCCTCGGCCCGCGCCTGGGGTCCACACGGCCAGCTGCGGACGCCCACACCTGGGCCAGCTGCCAGTGCTGGGCGTGGTGAGCCCTGGACTCTGGCTGCAGGCCAGGGGCTGTCCAGTACCCGGATGACCTCTGCTAGTGGCCATGTGGCTGGCTGCTGGCGGTGCAGCGGCAGGTCACTGCTCCACGGTCCGGCTTGCTGGCCCCCGCCAGGTCCTTCCCAGTCTGCGCTGGCCGGGGTCCTCCGTGCAGCCACACCTGCCCGCCCGCCCCCCACACTGCGCTGGGCCTGCCCAGTGCCAGGCGGGCCTTGCAGGGCCTCGCATCAGCCCACGCCCGCCGTGTCGCAAGGGCCTCCCGTGCCCTGACTAGGCTGCACGTCTGGTTCCGGCTGTTTGGAGGTGAGCGAGGCCACGCCCCCAGGGTGCCCGGAAGCCCTGGACCCTCTGTCCTCTCCGGACCCTGCACCGCGGGGACCTGGGGGAGGGGCCGCACACCTCCACAAGGCCCTGGACAAGCCAGCCAGTGCGTCTGCCCAGACAGGTGGTCCAGCCCCACCCAGGGGCCACGGGGCGCCACTGCCTGGACTCGGGACACTCACGGCTCAGACGCCTCCGTCTCCTCCTCGGCCAGGTAGTTGTGGGGCACGAGGCCCTCTGCCAGGGCCCTGCCCGCCGCATCCAGCCGTGTGGCCCACCACCACTCCTCCTCCTTCCTGGCCACCAGGAAATGGTCCCCTGCCCGGAAGCTCAGCTCCTCGTCCGTCCGGGCCTGGAAGTCCCAGAGCCCCACGTACCGGGGGCCCAGGCTCGCCTGTCCCCGGGACACCATGGTGGCACCGCAGTAGGGCTGCCGGCTCCCTGCCGCCTCAGCACTGGCAGCGGCTCCTGTTCTGGGCCGGGCAGCGGGCGGGCACACCTGGCCCCACCCTGCCCAGAGCCGGCCCACTTCCCAGCACAGGCAGCCAGTGGCAGAGCGGGCTCCCATGCACCCCGAGTGTGCCCCAGAGACCCCAGGCCTCCCTGCGAGTGTATCCTGATGGGGCCAGGCTGGTCCCGCTGCCCGCTGAGGGGCTGCCCCCGGGCACTGTGAGCCGCTGGGCTCAGGCCCCTGGGGGCAGGGCCTGGCAGTGGCAGTGGGGCCAGGGGCAGTGTATCTGAGCTGGAGGAGTCACCGGGGGCCTGGGGCACACTCCAAACTAGGCAGTGGGGGCCTAGCAGGACAGGGCAGTGGCTGGAAGGCCGTGGGGGCAGCGCATGGGGCCTGCTGGGGAGCCTGGCCCGGGCTCCCTCCCGTGGCAAAGACCTGGACCAGGCCAGGCAGGCCCAGGCAGCGTGGGGGGCACAAGGTGGGGCCGGGGACAGCGCAAGAGAAGGGCAGGATCCACGCGGCCCTGGCTCGTCCTTTACTGGGGAGGAACCGAGGGCTGCGTGGGCTGGGGTGCCCGGCAGGCCTCTGACCAGGAGGGGAGGGCTAGCCCGGGCCAGTGCCCGGGGAGCCGTGTCCAGAGGGCCTCTGTGGGCACAGCTGTGGCCAGTCAGGGCATGCTGGGAGCCCTGCCAGCCCCTGGCTGACGAGTACCCAGCAATGCGGGAGGCCCCAGCACCCCACGCCTCCGGCTCCGTGGTCAGGGCCCCTTGTGGTGGCCTGGTGTCCACCCAGCTGCTCCCATGCTGTCAGGCCATTTCCCAGACACCCTTGGGCCCCTCAGCACCCTGGACAGAGGGAGCCAGGGCCTTCACCCCAAAGGGCTCCAGCCAAACTGTCCCCCTGCATCTTCCAGGGCAGCAGGGGCAGCTTGTCCGCCATGAGAAGCTGGCGACGGACAGGCTGGGCGGCCACGGCGGGCATCCTGGAGTGTTCCTGGCATGTGCTGAGGGCCGCTGCCCAGGCCTGCCTGGGAGCCCCGTGAGGCCCCCACAGCCCAGGAGCCAGGAGGAGGCTGGAAAGCTGCTCGTCTCCCACCGCAGGGGCGCAGGGGCGCAGGGGCGCAGGGGCGGGGCGTAGCACAGGACCCCTCCAGGACCCCACAGCCACAGCGCCAGGCCCGGGCAAGCCTCTTCCCGCCGGCTGCAGCCCAGGTCACACGAGGTCGGGGTGCAGGCCACAGAGGATGG